AGTTTTAATATGCAAAGGTATTTTTACCAGAATTTTGAACACCTGGACCATTTAGTCAAGTGTTCTGGTCCTGACCAGTGCTCTATTAACTTGTATTCTGCTGAGCAGAGTTATTCCCCTTTGCCATTCACCTTTGATATTTAATCGCTGTAATTTTATTGTATAATACAAAAAGTACTTTCATAGTTTTAATGATCAGGTAGACTTGGAAATAATAGATGAATGAAAATGAGACAAAAATAACTTATCTTTTTAAATGTTCTTCAAAGGCCGAGAGAGGCCAATGTGAGAAGTAATAATATGGGGTTAAAAAATAGACATTTTGCAGGGTTCTCATTAATGCAAGAATCTGCGTCCTAGACGCAGCAAAATTACTTGGGACGCAAGGTTCTTAAAAACGATGCGTCCGCGGACTCATGATCAGACGCGTCCTCATTAGCGAGAAAATTCGGGTGATTTCGAAAACGGGGAATTAAGATGTTAGGATTTGTCAAAGAAATATTTAATCAAAACCTTCCTGAAACTATCATAAAGTTTATCCAAGAAACAACTTTTCTTGTACTTATTTCTCTTTTTTTTTAAACAGGGATTGATCATAAGATATTTTCATGTTTATTAGTCCATAGTCATAAAAGTGTTGCATGCGAAACTCCAACAGAGGTAAACACACTGCAGCTTTTTTTAAAAAAAAAACACTTTTGAATCTTGAGTGTTATCTACATGTAGAAACCATAATTCCTGCTTGTATACACAATGGGGCTTGATTATCTCGTGAATTTCACCCAGTGCAAACGACCAACCGACAGGATTAGTTACGCCTCATTGCACATGACACCTTTGATTGTATACAGTCAACTTTTGGGTACTAGTTGATTATGCAACAGTTAATTTTAGCTTTATAAACACCAAGTTATTTTTATGGCAATTGATTACGCGTGTATTTTAGATATGGCTTGAATGCATTACCAGTTTATATACTTGATTATGTTAATATTGCATAAACAAACTGATAAAATGATAAAGATTTTTATTGATGTTTGGATGGAAGGATACTGCAATAATTTAGTTGGGACTCAACATAATTTTTCTGGGACACATCAAATTTAGCTGGGACGCAACCTTCTCAGAAATCTTGAGTCCTGGGACTCAAGTTAGCAAAATCCTAGTGAGAACCCTGCATTTTGTTAAATAGTCTGCATGGTAATAGTGATAAATGGGGGACAGATAGATACTAGACCAATTATTTTGTTGATGCTAATCATACTATTTTTCTTGCTTTGGGCAGCAAAGCTTCATTTATCAGTTTATGGATCCTCTAAATTGTTGCATTGTACTCAGGTGACCGTTAAGGCCCTTGGGCCTCTTGTTTAAGATAAAATTATTTCGTGTAATTGCTGCATATGTATAAAAGAAATTTCTCTTGTTGTTGATACTGTAATAAAGATTTTTTTTTTAATTTATATACTTTAGGAGAATAAACTTTAGCCAATTTTTCTATTGAAAATGGTTTTATTTATTTATTCTATTAATGTTTCAGCATAGAATTTCAAATCATGAAATTAAAACTACAAATTATGTAATTTGGTTAATGTAAAAAAAAAATCCATTAAGTTATCAGAAAAACTTATAGAGAAACTTTTCATTTTAAAAAATTAACAGATTTTAAACGTAGAAATTTTTATATTTGTCTGAAGCAATTATTGATAACGTAAAAATTACAGCGTGACGTCATGCCCTTAAGAATGACTTTTGTGGACAATCATGCAATTTTTAAGAGGTTCCTAATGAAAAACTAAGAGAGGTATCAAAGAAATTTAAACTGTTTTAGGGAATATGCTTTGTAGACATCCTATGAAAAAATCCTGATCATATTCAATAACAGGGCCGATCATGACCCATAATGACTCTTCCTCTTTGGTGCCAAATTGTCTGAATTCTTTTCTAAATACACAAAAGTGAAACTAGATTAAGATATAAAAGCAACAGAGGTGACCGAAAGACTCAGAACCCAGTGATAAGTGCAGTCATCTTTTGTTTAAAATCTTTTCAAGAAAAGCAAAGCTATGATTAATTATATTTATATGGAAGCATCCTCAGGTAATGTAGATTCAAATTTGTTCAAATCATGACCCCTGGGTCACTATAGGCAATCAAAGTATCTTCTTTTCAAGAAGAGCAAAGCCATAATTAGTCATATTAATTCAGAAGCAACCTTGGGAAGTGTAGATTCAAGTTTGTTAATCATAATACCTCCCTCGCCCCACCAACACTTTTATATACTCAGGACTTATTTTTGCTTTTTCCTAGCCAAAGTGCTCAGGTGAGCGATGTGACCCATGGCCTCCTCTTGTGATAACCAGATTTGGTTCTTTTCCTAGGTTTAATAGAGTTAAATAAACTGATTAACATATAAAAAACATTTATAACAGTGTGAATAATGAAAAAATGAAGAAAACAATGTTACTTACTTACATAAATTCACATGTGCCCTATATTGATCATGGATGATGTTTTTAGTATATTTCATTTTACCAGGTTTCATATGCTTCATTTTCAACTAAAGAATGACCAGGTTGCAGTTTTTAAAGCAGGTTTCATTTCCAAGTAGCTATTGGCCTTTTTATTGACCAAACTTGCATGGATGATGCATTCAAGGATGCATACTACCAGATTTGTTTCAGATCTGAGCTTCAATTAATGGCTGAATGACCAGATTAAAGTTTTTGAAGTAGTTCTATTTCCAATTCCTATATTGACCAAACTTGCACAGTTGATACATCTAAAGATGCACACTACCAGACTTGCTTGGGATGCTGGATCTTACCTGCATTTTCAGGATGAGTGTACATGTTAATGTTTTGGAGCAGGTCTTATTTACTAATAACTATAAGTAATATATTTGACCAAACTTTGATGTATGATAAAATTAAAGATGTACATTACTAGATTTGGTGCAGATGCTTATCTGACCTACATCTTCTAGATGAGTGACCTGCATGGTTAATGGTTTTCGATCAGTTCATTCTAAAGTATATATGTATCAGGGATGGCAATTTCTAATCGGTTGAATGTGTTACTCGCTCAGACAATGGTAATCAGGTAGAAAATCTGTAATTGATTAGTTGGAGGAAAAAATAATATTTGTGTAAATTTGAACACAATTTTCAGAAAACTCTATTCTAAAAATACAAATAAAACAAGATGTGTTTGTGAAACACTATGCACCCGGCGGCAACAAGGTTCGAAAAAGCTATTTTTAGCATATAGGTCACAGTCAAGGTCACAAGGTCATTGACCTTGGTGTCATTTGAAAGAACTTAATGAGTGGAGTATGCATACCAAATATGAAGTCTCTCTCTCTCATGGTTCAGAAGTTACGGTGAAGGTTAAAGTTGACAACAGACAGAGAAACAGACAGACAGGACAAAAACAATATGCGCCCCCGATCTATCGATCCGGGCACATAAATATCAGAAATGTTAGCATTTTCACCTGTGTATTAAAGCTGATTTGTAGATAAATACGGCTGTCTGGATTGACATAGTTGAGTTAATTGGTCAGTTTGTGAGATGTTAATTGCAGCTTAAACATGAAAAAGCAAGAAAGGCCAATAGTATGGAGGCTCACTATGTGAACACTGTGTCATATGCTGAAGCACTTGGTCAGTAATGTGTAAGACATAATATTTTGGTGATAAAACAGGCATGTTTGTTGCTGATTACCTGACAAACTATTCTGATTATCTTTGATCATCTTAAGAGTTTCAGTTTATTTTGTGTTAGTAGATAATTACTTACCATTCCATGGATCCTTTACAGGGTTGTTTTATACTCTTTTGGGGGGGGGGGGGGGACTTAAAATGTTTCTTCTTAGGAGGCTCATTACACCACTTTTTGATGACATACTACAAAAAAAAATAAACCTCCATTGTTTTGTCTGTTTTCCTCTGGGGATGAATTGTACAGGTTCCCTTATAATGTGACCCAGATCTTTAAAACGCTTTAAAAATAGACTAAACATGTGATGTTGTAAACAGTGAAAACAAAGTAACGGATTCATCGTGCATACACGAAGAAGGATTGTTTTTAAGTAGAAACCAAAGAAACAACAGCCAAATCATCACTAAACAAGTAATGTACAATGTCTTAGCGAAAGCGGTGTGAGCTCTATCAATGATAGATAGAACATTCTATCGTTAAAATGATATTGTCCTATGGGCCCGGTTCTAACTGTGGTGAGGGCTTGTCCCAAGACACAGTCAGCTTATTCTAACTATATCAATGACAACATGTATGTATGGAGGAAATTCGAGTTAAATTCTACAACCTTGTTGAAATAAAAAAAAAATAATTTACTTGCACTATTTATTGTACTCGTATTGATTTATATACTTGTTTTTATTGTTTTTATTATATACTCGAGAAATTTAAAGCTTTATTCTGAACTTTAGATGTAATGTTCAAATGTCCCTTTGTGTTTTGAGTCTTGGGTAATTAGGAAAGATAACTCTTGCAAGTGGACTTTTTATTCCAAATATTTTTTAAATTGGAATTTTCATTTCGTTAAAACATTCTTCAATCAATTTGCCACATGCAATTCATTTAAATACATTCATTTTCTCTTTAGAACTCATTTTCCAAATTATTGAAGCACAAATTAAGAAGAAAATGGCATTCATTGTTCTTTTTTTTATTTTGGAGAAAACTATTTTTTCTAATAAAAATAATATTAAATATTATGAAGTATTGTCATTTTGTGTACATGTCTTAAGAAGATGTCCATCACTTGTCACTGAAATTTCTGCAATTCTATTAATAATTAACTTGAAATAAAATATTTTACTAAAATCAGAAAAAAGTTTAAAAATTCACTAAAAATATTTAAGATATTATAACCTCCATTTGGATATTTGACATCCACATTATAAGTGGTGCTGTAATGAAATCTAAAATAAAATGTGGGTGTAATGAGCCTCCTTAATGCTTTTTCCACTCCTGTAGGCCAGAGGTAGCTTACATCAACAGGGAAACTGTCACCCTCCCAGCTCTCAAACAGACTGTGAGTAACCAGAATGTAGAGAGGAAGAAGCGGACTCAGATACTACAGAAGGCACGCCTCAGGAAGGAGGTCATTCCTTGATGATTATTATTTTTAATTTAAATGCTGCATTTTTTAATCAGCTGGATCACAATTTAGTCATATTGATGAACACTATCCCCTTTAATGTATATTCATATTTGGTCTTGTCTTTGCCTTAAGCAATCATAAGAGAGTTAAAAAAAAAAGGAAAAATCTTTTTTCTCAAGGAGAGCATTGCCAGTGTGACTCAGGTGAGTGTTATTATTACCCATTGGCCACTTGTTTCCAATTCATTCAGTATTCTAATTTTATTATACCCCCCACAAATGAAGTTTAGGGGGGGAATATATTGGAATCAGCATGTCCATCTGTCTGTAGAAGTGATTTTGTCTTGACCTTTTCTTGGAGTCTATTGCATGGATTTGTCTGAAAATTTTTCACTCATTATTCACTATTTTAAAGGTGTGCGCCTGTATTTTCATCATGATTTGATAATTTTTCTGCATTTTACAGGTGTTTTTTTTTTTTCATTTTTATTGACTTAGTCATTTGGGTTCATGTAGGTTTGAGACATATAATATAAAACTGCCAGTTGGTACATCAGTACAAAAAGGTGAAATTGCAGCTTAAAACTACTCATTAAAACTGAAAAAAAATCACAAGGTATTAAAAATGTCTTTTGGTAGATAGTCCCTACAAATCTAAGAGTCATGCAGTTACCTTATTAAAAAATTTGCATCAAGATTGCACAGTTCTTTTTTTTTCATTATATATAAAGCTTTGTAATAAATAAAAAAAATCTTTGTTTTCAACAGAATGACATAAATTTGCATTTTGCTATTGTACATACTAGACTCCAGTGCATTACACAGCAGACAGTGTAAATCCATTCATCCCTTGGGAGTGATGAGTGGACATGCATCCAGTTAAAGATTAATTAATGAGTTCAATGTGGAAAGCTGTTAGAGCATCTCTGATCTAGCAGGTGTTATCTATATCTCCTGGGAATTGGGCAGAAGAATTAAAGATCTCTGTTCTCTAATTCTCTTAATTGTAATTTATTTATTCAGGCAAATTTAAATGTATAGCTACTGGATGACCAACCTTTTATTTTTAAAATGAATTTGGTATCATCAAGTTATCAAGATTAATTTGATATTGTATGATATGATTTTTTTTTCAACAAAAAAATTCCAGAGTGTCATGTCTCAAAAAGATGACAGCTAGTTGCAATTAATTTTTTTCAATCTAATAAAAAAACAAATATAATTATTAGTATTGATGATTTATTAGGCTGCACCTTAGTTTATCATTCATTAAAAAAAAATATAATGAGCAATTAGATTTTCAATTAAAATGTTTAAACAAATTGTGAACACCTCTTACATCCATAAAATATGTTCAGTGACTTGGCACCTTTTCTGAAAAACACAGCGGGGGGTATTCGTCCATTTTGGACAGTTCTTGTTTTATTTGTACGTACTTAATGTTTCAATGATGTATACAATATTCAAGTTTATTTTATTTGGCAAAGCTCACGTATTATCTGCTTAATTGTTTATAGATCAACTTTTTAAAGCTAAGTAAAATTCTCCCCCTTCACTTTGTTGGTTTTATAATTTTATACCAAGAAAATGCAAATCTATAACTTTGAGTTTATTGCAGCTTTAATGCTTATTAAATTAATTTTTAACTTTTTAAATTTTGACTGATATTGTCCGAGCCTTTTTGTGTTCCATTTGTGAATATTTAAGAAAGGATATGTATTGTGAAGATCATTGAATTGTATGGCAATGTATGTGTTGTATAATTTATCAGAAAATTTGTATCATTCAGTTCACTTGGTGCTTTTTCAAAAAATGTATAATCTTATATTTTATTTATCAGTGGGTTTCCTACTGTGCTCATTAACTCAATCTGATCCAAGATATTAACATATTTTGGTGCTTTTGATATATGAAACACTGTGCATGCATACTTGGACACAATCAATAAGAATAAAGGAAATTCAAAGTTGACACAGGAGTATGTATTCAACTTATTTATCAATATGTCTTGATGTCAAATTTTTGTCTCTTGGTTGCTAAATCTGTGAGTATTAAGATCTGGATGTGTATTATGAATAGAGAATAATACCTATTCCAATACAAACTTTGTGTCAGCCCAAGACACCCATGTCAGACAGAAGGCCGGAGGGCTAGCTGATACAGAGTGTTTTTGGGAAAAGGGTACATGTATGTATATATTATGTTTTTTACATACTTAGTTATAACATACAGCACACATCTCCTTCAGCAAATACATAGAGAGTATTACTAAAATACATATCATATGTCATATCAGCCTGAGTAATCCCATACTAGGATGAGGGCAGATATGGGGCCATGACATATGGATTTTGGTAAGAAGTATTCTATCTATATATCTATCTATATATATATTAGGGATGTCAACGAGTACCCGGTTAACCGGGTACTCGATCGAACGTCCGAGTATCGAATATTAAAAATGGTACTCGGTTACTCGGATGTGTATTTTTTCTTATTTCAAAGTACATATTTTTATCAAAAACTTATCAAAAAATAACATAAATATGCATACGGTAATTTGCCTGTCGTCATCTATGTACACCTGTAAAACACCCGTTATCGCCTGTGGCTGTGTATATACAGTAATTAGTGACCAATCACCCCGCTGTTCTCACCTATTGTGGTCCTTAATTTTTGAATGGCTTCAATGATTGTTTTCAGTGAACATCGATGGTCTATTATCTTCAAATCATTTTAAAATTATTTAGTTAATATACTGCATTGAAATAGGACATGCATAGAAATGCTGCTACCCACTTCAAAAGTGAAGAAATATTTAGAAATAACTAAAGATTCAAAAAAATGTTGAAGGTCAGTTTGCGTAGTAAGTTTAGTGTATACGGGAGAAACAATCAACATATGAAATAATAGACTAGCGATCCAAACAACGGCCATTCCTTCTCTTTCGTACAGGTGCTTGGGGACGGAACATCCCCCCTCCCCCGGTGTTCCGTACCCCAAGGGTTCTTTGACTTTTTATGAATTAAATATTTTTCTATGACACATTCACAAAGTATTACAACTGAAAAATCCAAAACTTAACCTAAAACCAGCCTTTTATAAAAATTCACACTCTCTGATACTAAAAGAGAACAGTCCTCTTTTAGTATCAGAGAGTGTGAATTTTAATTTACCCTTGGGGTACGGAACACGGGGGGGGGGGGGGGGGCGTCCCCAAGTACCTGTGCTTTTCCGCTAGTCTAATCATCATAAACATGCGTAACAGATTGTCCTCCTTTTGATGAAATAGATCCTAAACAAGAACTGTAAACCATTTGTAATTTTTGATGTATTAATTGTGTCTTTATTTTCTGTTTGATAAATGAATTTAGTAACAAAAAATCATTTCCGTTGGAATCGATGTTTGTATACATTTATAAACGTGATAAAAACAGTTTTGGGGTTTAACAGAGCTTAACGGGGCTCAAGAAAATTAATACACTTGTATTTACATTTTTTACCGAGTACCCGGATACTCGATCGGAAAAACGTCCGAGTAACCGATTATCAAAAATTAACCGATTTGACATCCCTAATATATATATATATATATATATATATATATATATATATATATATATATATATATATATATATATATATATATATATATATATATATATAAGGAATCACTGTCTAGTTAGTAGAGTATGCCAGGACACCAACAATAGTTGGAAACGTGGGATAATTTGCATAACGGGCGAATATGCCAGGGCATCAACGATAGTTGGAAACATGGAATAATTTGTGTAACGGGCGAAGCCCGTTATGCATAAATTATCCCACGTTTCCAACTATCGTTGATGTCCCTGGCATACTCTACTAACTAGACAGTGATTCCTTATATTTCCATTTCATTGTGAAATAAAATTGTAAATTTAAATTTTAAAAATGTAGACTAATAGATTTAAATTACACGAGACCTCACATGTCAATTTAAATAGTCCCCATCCACTGGCGTCAAACACAAATGCAGCAGCACGAGAATTACGTACATGCATATAAGGCTCCTTGGCGTCAGACACAAAGACAACCGCACGAGAAGTACATGCATATTAGGCCTTCTTAGCTCCTGACCTTTCGCTTGGCGAAATTTGCATTCCGGTAGAATGATCAAGAAATCAACTCGACTAACTTTCAAAGAGTTATCACAGAGAAAACAAATAGAAATGGAAATATAGAATGATCAAGAAATCAACTCAACTAACTTTCAAAGAGTTATCACAGAGAAAACAAATAGAAATGGAAATATAGAATGATCAAGAAATCAACTCAACTAACTTTCAAAGAGTTATCACAGAGAAAAACAAATAGAAATGGAAATATATATATATATTTCCATTTCTATTTGTTTTCTCTGTGATAACTCTTTGAAAGTTAGTTGAGTTGATTTCTTGATCATTCTTCCGGAATGTAAATTTCGCCAAGCGGAAACGAAAGTGTTACAAACAGACAGAAATACAGCTGGACGGACGGACGGACAGACAGACCCAAATTAGTATCCCCCACTTTCAGTGAAAGCGGGGGACAAAAATTTCTTGAGTTACTGTTTTATACAATTTAATCAATTCTTATCATTTGACACTGTCTTTATATTCACTTACTTATGTACAACATCACCACCAATACCCAATCTCTGGCGCCCCCCCCCTCCCCTTTTTATTTCTTTCTTTTTGTAATTGAAAGTTCTTGAAATAATCATATCATTTTTAAACACACTGCAGATGGGTTAAAAACAACTCTGGCAAGAACTATACGTAAACTTGTATATATGCGAGTTAGTACAAACGACGTTTAAACATGTAGACCTATGTATTAAAAAACAAGCTAATTCAGAGAATTTGTTTCCCCCGCTTAGGGAAAAAAGAAGAGCATGTGCAGTTGGGGGGGGGGGGGGGTGTCGGACACCCCCCCCCCCTGGATTTGTTGAATTATTAAATGTTTACATGTATATTGAAGCAAATAAAAAATACCAGTATCGTTATAAAGCTTTGATTGCTTATTCTTTATTATGTGTATAGAAGATTCTTTTTATATAGAATATTTATCACACTGTAATAATGATTTTATGACTTTATACAAGCCAGACGTCATAACTTTTTCATTTTACATGCTAAATACTATCATTTAGTAAATCAAAAAAAAATTTAAAAAAAAGGATCGTCATGGATTTGAACCCGGCACCTCTCACATGCCAAGCGAGAGTCATACCACTAGATCACGGTGGCATTGGATTTCATAGCAAATTAAATGCAAACATAAGGTTACATATAATGTTTATATTCACATTCGATATTGTCAAAAATTTACACAATACATGGTGTCTAATTTAGCCTTTATTAAACAGTTCTAATTGATGTAATAAGAATATAATGTCCGCCGACAACCTGTATTATACGTAATAACTCTCCACAAGCCCCTGTGCTTAAAATAGTGCCATGCGACTTTTAATACAATACATGTAAATAATAATTTTTAAAAAACGGGACGGGACACTTTGAGAGGGGTGAGAGAGGCCCTAGGGAGTTATGGTATAAAATTTCATTTTAAAAGCTTCTTGAGATATCGCGCGGAAAAGAAAGTGTTACACACAGACGGAATGTATAAATTTACGACCCTGAACTCTGACCTTTTGACCTCAAAATCAATAGAGGTCTTCCTTAGGCCACAGGGAGTTGTTATGTAAAATTTCATTGCAAAAGCTCAAAGGATTCTCCAGATATCGCGTGGAAACGAAAGTTTTTAAAACAGACAGAATTTATTAATTTATGACCTTGACCTTTGACCTTTTGACCTCAAAATTAATAGGGTTCTTTTTTAGGCCATAAAGAGTTGCTATGCAAAATTTCATTGCGAAAGCTCAAAGGGTTCTCGAGATATCGCGCGGAAACGAAAGCCTTACAGACAGACGGACGGTGTCGCATAATTTACGTTCCGGATACTTCACGTTCCGGCCGCAACCTTAAAATCATTATATTGGTTCCGGATTCTACTGTAAGTTTGGTTCCGGTGTCGCATAATATTTGGTCCACCTCGTTTAAAGGTCCGGGGGGACATAATACGATAACATATAAGGTCCGGCCTGCCTCTATAATAAAAGGTCCGCCCTCGGACTAATTTGCAGATTTTTCTCCTTTATTGATTCGAAATTAATTTGCTTAATTAATCTTTTTGAATTATTTAAGGTATAGTTGTTATAATAGTGTCCCTCCCAGCAAAATGGAGTTCCAGGGACGTACATGTACATTGTATATATACTAACAGGATCAAGTCTTGCGATATCTCGCTTGTTGCTGATTTCGTTAGTCAGTTTTAATTAATTAATATATTTCTAATGCTATCAAATATACAAAACCTCAAATTATCTATCAAAAAATTATTCAAAATTTGATGTTAGCACTGATTAACTGTTAGCTCGTCGCCCGCGTGGCGCAGTGGTTAGAGCGTCTGCTCTAGAGTCGCGGAGTAAGGAGTTGATCCTTACGTCGCGGGTTCGAATCCCACTGTGGGACGTGGAGACCGGTCCTTCGGATGAGACCGTATAAACCGAGGTCCCGTGTCGCAGTAGGTGCTGGCACGAAAAAGATCCCTCACTGCTCAATGGCCATAAGTGCCGAGTATAGGACAAAATTTGCAGATCTCTATGGCACGCCGATTACGTCAAAATTATTTTCTGCACAACGACCATGATTTTATACACGAGCTTGATGAAAAATATACACGAGTAAAATAAAAATGTAGGTATCGGTAAAAATTGCACATAGTTTGAAAGATTTTTATACAAACATAACGAAAAATACACGAATCAGAAATTTTTTACACGATTAAGGGGTATAAAATGCACAAACGTAAAATCAATCAAAGTATTGTAAGTACTGAAGGACGGAGGCATGAATACGACAGTTTATATTTTACACAATTTCATTATC